AGAATCAGGTTGCTCGGGATTTTCTGAATATTTTCTCACGGGAAAATATTTTTGATGATTCCTGGGGGACTGATTTGGACGAAGTAAGGTCTATAACTAAAAAGTTTCAAAATATGAAAGCTCCAGGTGATGATGGAATTTTCTATATCCTCATCAAAAAACTCCCAAAGAGTACCTTGTCTTTCTTGGTAAAATTATTTAAGCGATGGCATACTTTCCTGATAAATGGAAAAATGCAAATGTTGTTCTAATTTTGAAGCCGGATAAAAATCCAGCTGAAGATTCTAGCTACCGTCCAATAAGTTTGCTTTCTTCAATAAGTAAACTTTTTGAAAAGATAATTTTAAATAGAATGATGCTTCACATCAATACGAACTCAATTTTTGCAGATGAGCAGTTTGGATTTCGCCATGGGCATTCAACTACTCATCAACTCTTAAGAGTTACCAATTTAATTCGTTCAAACAAATCTGAAGGCCACTCAAGGAGTTGCTCTTCTAGACATAAGAAAAAGCATTCGACATTGTTTGGCATGAAGGTTTGATTGCTAAATTGAAAAAGTTTAATTTTCCACTTTATATTATGAAATTAGTTCAAAATTATTTAACTGACAGAACTCTGCAGGTAAATTATCACAATTCCAAATCTAATCGACTACCTGTTAGAGCAGGAGTTCCTCAGGGTAGCATTCTTAGGTCTATATTGTATAACATTTTCACTTCGAACCTCCCTGATTTGCCTCAGGGTTGCCCCAAATCTTTGTTCGCTGATGACACAGGCATTTCCGCTAAAGGAAGAAGTCTTCGTGTTATTTGCAGCAGACTGCAGAAAAGTTTAGATATTTTCTCTTCTTATTTACAAAAATGGAAGATTTCTCCCAACGCTTCCAAAACTCAACTTATAATATTTCCACATAAGCCTAGAGCTTCCTTTTTGAAACCTAGTAGTAGTCACAAAGTCACTATGAACGGAGTTCCAATTTCCTGGTCAAACCAAGTGAAATATCTTGGATTAATACTTGACCAAAAATTAACTTTTAAAGATCACATTGAGGGCATTCAAGCCAAATGTAACAAATATATAAAATGTTTGTATCCTCTTATAAACAGGAAATCCAAACTTTGCCTGACGAATAAAATTCTAATATTTAAACAAGTTTTTAGACCGGCCATGCTTTACGCTGTGCCAATATGGTCTTGTTGTTGCACTACCAGGAAAAAAGCACTTCAAAGGATTCAGAACAAAGTTCTGTAAATGATTTTGAAGTTGCCTCCCTGGTACAGTACTACCGAAGTACATAGAATTTCGAATGTTGAGACTTTAGAACAAATGGCCAACAAAATAATTAATAATTTCAGGCAAAAATCGTTGCAATCCTCAATTGCAACGATTAATTCCCTCTATACTTGAATAAGATTTAGTTTTAGTTTTTAGTTTTAAGATATCAATTGTTATACTGACATGCAGGTTTAAAAAACCTGTTTAAAATACTGAATTGCCAAGACATGAACAATGTAAAAACACTTAGATATATATCATAACAATTAAGGCTGGTACGTTACTGCAGTAACTGGAGCACCTAGGTTAAAATGAAATGTAATTTATTTTGAATTTGGAACAAATGAAGAGTTAAAAAAAGAAAATTGAGTGTGTAATATATTTGGAAGATTTACAGCAGGGTAGATGTACTAGTTATGACTAAAAAGGCTGAATTTATAAAAGACGACATATCAAAAATGTCAAAGTCATAGGAAAAGTTATTCCAATCGAGCAGACGACCTGTCAAATGGATAAGATGTCGCCTATTTGCCCAATTCTCTTTAGTTATGGCTATCATCCCGTTATGACAAATAGATATTTAGTATTTATGATTTTTTGACAAAAAACGGGTAATTCTGACAGATTCTGACATCTCCGGTGGCACAAAAGTCATCCAAGAACGCTTAGAACAGTTTTCCTACCGTAAATGAACAAAATAATGATCTTTCAAATGGAATTAAAAACTTGAAAATCGGTTTGCTCCTTTAAGAGATATTAACAATTGAAAAAGGCCAGTTTTTTGAAGAAAATCACCTTTAACTTTTCAATAAAAAAAAGATAGCAACTTGGTTGCTTTGCCATTAAAAGTTCTAAAAGTGTCTAGAATATTTGTTTTCCGAGAAATGAACGTATGTAAAGATATTCATAGAAAACCAATTTTTTAGGGGCCACCCTACACAGCAAAAAAATAATTTTGATATCACATCAAAGTGGATGCACTACAATCATGTCAAAAATTTCATGTAATTTTTATGACCACATAAATAAACAAATGCAGTAAAAGCAGCGTAATGTCAGTTCATGCATTGTATTAATGATAATTTTGTCCTTTTTAGCAAGTAATATTACACCATATTTTCGACATGATTGTAGTGCATCCACTTTGACGTGATATCAAAATTATTTTTTTGCTGTGTCACTTGCTTGTTTAAAAAAATCATAACTCATGAACCATAAGAGATGGAAATTTGATGGCTTCAGCAAAGGTGCCGCAAATTGATTGTTCTACAACTTTCTAGAACATTGCACTTATCTATCTCACATAATAAAAAAGTTCACATATTCAATTCACCAATTTTATGGACCACATTTATGAAATTAGGCACTAACATAAAAAAAATATGAAGAAACTTTCCGGAACACACCATGTGCCTAAAATCAACGGTTTTAGCGCAAACATTTTTGTCTTCCTAAATACGGCTTTATGACCATTGTGCATTGGCGGCAGCTTCAAGAACCACTGGTCGTGCCAGAGGATTGATTCTGGCGCAGTAGGTCTGTTTTTTTTCATTCACGTTGTTTTCAAAGATCATGATTATCTGAGATTTGTCAATCACGTTAATATTTACACGTCGTGTATTGAAGAATTACCGTTATAATTAATTATGGTTTTATCTAAGCAAGCTCTCTTCTTTTTCATTTGCTTTATTATAGAGACTTTTAGCCTTTAGCTGGTTCGTCTCTCTTTATCTAAGCAAGCTGTTTTCTTCTAGAATGTAAACTACTAACAATTGTTGTCCATAGACGTAATTTTTAAATTCGATTATCTAATGCATTTCTATCTAATGCAGTAACAATTATAAACAAATCGAGTTACCTGATATAAAATCACCCATCCAAATTTACTTTCCTTTAGTTAAGATAATCATAGTTCAAAAATTGTCGTGTTGTACAGTTTGAAATGATGCGTACGTGATTGTTATACCGCGTACGTGATTGTTATAGCACTATAAAACAACTATATAAAAACTATACAAGTGTGACCATGGATGTGCTCATAAGTTATTAAACAAATAATGCTAATGTTCATAGTTTGTCATTCAAGTGCATTACTTCGGACATTTGGACTTCCTAACATGATTGGTGCTCATTTTCTAAAGGTGGGGCATTATTAGGTTAGATACTCTATTTTGGAATCTGTGAAAGGGAATCTACTATCATGTAGAACAAAACGTCCAATTTAGCACTCACTAATTATGTCATTGAGAAAAATCGTCCAATGTAACATGTCCGATGTACAACTTGACTAGTCAAAACGTCCTATGTGAAATGAATGTCTCTAGGGAAAGATCAAATTAATTTTTCAAGCCTGCAGAAGATGAGTTTTACGTTTGAACATGAAACTAGTATACTACCCAAGTAACCATAGGCACGTTATTTCGCCTTTTTGGCTATATACAGCTGAACAACGGCTACACCAGTGTTTGCAAGTTCTGATGAGGCCCGTATATAGCCAAAAAGGCAAAATAACGTGCCTATGGTTACTTGGGTAGGTATGTCTATAAAATTTGTTTGGCAATAAAAATACAAATTTCAGCTGTTTACTCCAAGAATTACAGTTGTTCAAGTGCTGAAAATCAATAAGGTTAATTAATTTAAATGAGCGGCGCCAGTGGTGTAGTGGTAAGCGTGATTACCTCTCACCCCAGCAGCCCTGAGTTTAATCCCAGTCGGCGCCGCCGGGATGTTCTGAGGCATAACATCTCTGATTACGCCTTCCTTCGGAAAGGAAGTAAAGCCGTTGGTCTCCGGTTCATGAGTTGATGGGTCGATAGGTAGAGTCCAGGTTGTGAGAGCAGCCTCCCTGGCGTTGGTAGCATTGGTACTCTGTACGGAAAAGAAGATCGACGGAAAACAAATCAAAGAACAAAAAACAAAACTAAATTGATTGATGAGTTGATTTGTTCTTGAAATTGGTTCAATGTTTGCTAGTCATTTGTGTTTTTTTTTTCCTTTGGTTTGTTTTCCGTCGATCTTGTTTTCCGTGCTGAGCACCAATGCTACCGACGAGCCAGGAAGGCAGCTCCCACACCTGGACCCTACCTATCGACCCCATCAACTCATGAACCGGGGACCAACGGCTTTACTTCCCTTCCAAAGGAAGGCGTGATCATAGATGTTATATCTCAGAACATCCCGGCGGCGCCGACTGGGATTGAACCCAGGCCTACTGGGGTGAGAGGTAATCACGCTTACCACTACACCACCGGTGCCGTTGCTAGTCATTTGTTATTCTGTAAAATTGTATGATTTTTTTAATCACCTACAAGTGCAATTTGTATGTTTTTAAATGTTTAATAGTTTATCTAATTAAGCTTATGTGAACTGTTGCAACAACTGTTGCACAAACAAGGTAAATTTTTTGTAGTGGTTGTGCCAACAATACCACTAATCTAACTGAAAAATGATGTCCAGATGATCGAAAGCAAATTTTCTTACCTTTAAAATAATGGATATAGCTTCATTACAGTCCGACATATTTGTAACCAAACTTTTTTTTTTTAGTGAAATTTCATTTTTTAGCTGTATCTAGAAAATTATCCTACTTAGATTTTTTCTTACTACATTTTTACACGATTTTACATGTGCAACGAGCACCAGCGTACATAGTTCAAATATGCTGTAACTAGTGTAATTAGAAAAGCTATCTAAAGTTTCAAAATGTGTTTTATCTTTTGCAGCGAGTTCCTCGGTATGCATCGACAGTGGAAATCCTTTATATCACGATGTGTACCGAAGATCAATAGAAGAACCTAAAGCATTTTGGGGAGAGGTGGCTGAGCAGTTGATTGATTGGGATAAACCGTGGGACAATGTGATGGACGACAGTAATCGACCTTTTACGAAATGGTAAGGTATAATAAATTAATAATCTAAATCATTGGCTACACTAGAGAGTTAAAACATATTACAAGGCAATCTTGACGAAATGTTCCATGTGGATAGTTATCATAATATTAGAGCCAATCAGGTAAATCACATATCATAGTTTTTTTTTTGCGAATTTCAACATGCATTCTCACATTCATGCATTCCCTTTATGAGTACGAGGATTCACGGTCGGTCGGTGAATACATTTCTTATGGTGAACATATTGTGACAAGTTTGGTTTTTTGATTGATTGTGTAAACAACATTTTTTTTTTTGCCACGCTAGAATTGGGAAAGCATGATAACGTGAGTTTGATCCACTAAATGAAAGTTGATCGATGTAGAAACTGTGTTTGTGTGCAGCTCATGTAATCTATTAATAAAACTGGTCGAGAATCTGGATTTTTTATTTCTAGTACGAAAAAATCATTTAAAATATGACTATATACTCAGGTCTTTTTTTTTTTACACGGGGGATACGTACCGTGTAAAAAAAAACCTACGAGATTTTGGTTTTTCGCATGCTTAAATGTTTTTAAAAAATCGGATTTTGATGCCATTTGTAATTAAAGCATGATATGGTTCATATAGACATATTTTAAAAAATTCTGTATTTACACCAAAAACTGTGATTTTTTTTTTTAAGTATGCCATTCGATTACCCATAGTTTGAAACTGATAATGTGATTGAAATCAAGTCGATAGGTTGTATCGTTGTTGAGAAATCGTTACAAACGTACCGTGTAAATCGTGGAAAACCGTGTAAAAAAACCGCGTAAAAAAAACGTGTAAAAAAAGAGTGTATTATGGTGATTGCCGCCAGTGCACAGAACAGTGAGGTTCAATGAGTCATTTTCATATGAATATGAACTGCCATCGGCCTCATATGAGAGATATCTCTCACTGCCTCGTGAGAGTCTAAATGATTGAGAGGTAAACGATTCACTGACAGCCTAGCACTCAGTCAGTAGCTCAATCAGCTCGTTTATTCTTCCGTGATGGTACCCAATACTTGTTTTGAATGACTGAGCGTACATTTTCTGTGGAAAAATGCCTCAATTATATGCTGTGTGAGCGAAGACAAGTGGTGTGAGTCGCCTGTCCGTGAGTGAATGAATGTGTGTTGGCTCTTTCATTGCCTCGTCCTTTATCGTTTGGTACAAAGATCTGTACAGAGCAATGGATTGAATAGTGCCAGTGCTGTGCAACCTGGTCTATACAAGGTGTGGAGATCTAGCCCTCACGTATGTGTTGGTAGAGGGAAAAAGGTAAACATTGCGGGAGAGGATGACCACGACGTCATAACAGTCGAAAGCAAATTTGTGAAGTATGAAGTTCAGCAAATTCTAGATATGTTTGCATGATGACTGATTTTGCTTGTATGCTTTTGTAAAGTATCCGGGAAATATCAGCAGCCATTTTGTATTTTTATAGTAACTACTTACTTGAAAACGGACAAAAACTCACCAGGAGGCTGCTTTTTCCTGGTATACAGTGTGCTAATAAAATAATCTATACATTATCTCAACATTCAGTGGAAAAAAAATCATAAATGTTGGCTTCATACAGAAATTCTATAATTCATTTTCAATTTCCAATGCAAACGCTGATTGAAACAAACGTTATGACGTAACTACGAGCGTGTTTGAGCGTACGAAAGAAGCAAATCGTGCGAAGCCGACTGAAAGCCGAGTGAAAAACGAACTGCACCAATACGTACAGGCCATCAATTCCACACCTTGTATAGACCAGGTTGAGTGCTGTGCTCCTAAAATTTGAGCTAAGTAGGCGCACCAACCCAATGAGATGTATACAGGTGAGGAAGTGACCGTAAAATGGTATTCGTGTAGTGCAAAATATGTTATAGTGTTTGTGAAGTATACCTTACGTAACGTCAAACTCCACTTTTTTCATGCAATTTTTTCAGGAGTTTTTGGTCATCACCGATTGTTTACCTCCTTTTTTGCTACTAATACCAACAAATACCCTCTTGTGCCACACCTGTATATATCTCATTGGCACCAGGCGCATCGAATTGACCTGCGCCCTATAAAATATAAATCTGTCTGAAATAAAGATTCACCCGCCCCTGACGTTAATGACGTTGTTTCAAATAGTATAGTTAATGTGGTATGTTGCAAAATATGTTTATCTATGCTGCACGATGAGTAGCACCGTACTCTACAGGTGGTGAAGGGGGCATTTGCCACACAACAAGTCCCTTTTATCCTTATTTCTTGAAATTATTCTTAATTTCTTAAAGCTCCGTCAACATTTCTAAGCACCATCCGTTTTTTTCTGATTTATCTCATATATATATCTTCTCTTATTTTCAGGAAAAACATTGAAACATTTCTAAAAAAAAATTCCTAACCATTCGTGGGCAAAATCTCGAGTTCTCAAAATAATAAGTAAGTTACCAACTTACCAAATCAAACCCTTAAGTTTTTAAGAAGTATGTTGAACTTAAATAAACTTGAGCTGAGTTTTTATCAAATTACCAGAACTTTTACCAAAATCACTGAGATTTCACAATTTTGACAAAATTTCTATGAAATCCCTTCAATTAGTGTCAGTAGTGGTCATTAAGACCTACTAAGAATAGCACTACTGGCCATCTGTTCCGATGGTAGAAGTCGATCACACAGGCACAGACAAACAGACGTAACACTTCATTGTGTATCTTCGTCCACGCATTTAACGGTTGATTTGAATATTATCAGTTCCGCGAACTACTCGCCACAGCGCTGGCATCGGATCACTTTGACGTTTCTATACATTCTATAGAACTTTTATGCAATATTGTTTAAGATTGAGCGAGCAAGCTTGTTTTCCGCGAGAAGCCCGAGAGATGTCGTTACTGAGGTCCTATGTTTTGAGATACTATGTTTTCAAGAAAAACTTTTTCTAAGAGTTACGTCTGTTTGTCTGTGACACAGGTGTGTGTGGTGTGTGGATACAATCCGCTTTTATGGAACAAACCTGCTGTGCCCTTACCTGTTCATACACGCACATTCTTAGGTCATCTTCATATACGATAAGGCTCACATGAACACATTCACATGTAAAATGGATATCTGAAATGTACTCATAGGGAAGAGCGCTACTTCGTCGTAATCGCCCATTTCCGTTCTATCGAGCAGAAATCATCAATAATATCAATCATTTCACCATGCACAAAACATTAATACGTTTGATCCGATCCGTTAGTTCATAAGCCACAACATGAAGCCAATTACAGCGTATTGTATGAATATTTACACTCATTGTTCTCAAAACAAAAGAAGCGCTCCTAGCGAATCCACTTTTTCTACCATCATCCGTAGGACGAAGAAAATCTAATGGCGTTTCAATGCGTTAGGACGGAATTAAAACTCGTAGGACGAATTTAGAATGAAGAAGCAGTGTTAGATTTGTAATAATATCTCAACATTGATTGACTCTTTATCAAATTCAACGGTACGTATGGAAAGGTTAATAAATTTAGAAGTTATCTTTGATGAAAACATTCCATGTTTTGTTCAAACCCTTTCAAAAAAGAGAGGTAAAGTGCGGGATGTGCTTAGTAGGACGGAAATTAGATCAAAAACCCTACTTCATGAATCAACGACTACTTCTTTGATTTAGTAATAAAATTATAGTTGCAATTTATATGGATAAATAGAAATAATTATGTGGATGGTAGATAAACTTAGCTTAGCGTTCAAAAGCGTAAGTAAGGATAAACGGCACCTCATACCACGGAACAGGAAATATTTGATTTTAGAGCAAAATAGTTTTAAACTTGAAAAAAAAATTAAGCAGTTTTCCATTGGCTTGCAAATTAAAATCGATCGACTCCGTAGTACCCAGGTTACGGGGGTACAACAAAAACCTAATCGCTAACGGAGCCTGTGGGTAGCAGGGCGCCCTCCACATTATAAAGCCCTTACTGCGCTAACCGAAGCAATAGCGCAGCGAACTTTTACTTCTCCGAGGCACTCGGTTGCCCTTCTTAAGTTTCAAGTACGAGGCTAAATAAGGGCGGGACTATGGATATAATTATTCTCAAATTCAAAAAATAAAAATATACCTCTGTGGATTCGCTTTATGCGCTTTTTTATTATTATTATTATTATTATTGTCACTTCGACACTCTTGGGTCATTCGTGACTTATCCAGGGGTGAGATTTGAACTCGTGATTATGGCGTGAGAGGAATGGATGCTAACCACTACACCGGGGTCGCCCCCGTTTAATGCGTTTCACTCAGAATACCTTTGTGGATCGCCAACGGCGTTTTATAAATCATGACCAATTTGGTTTCAACGTTGCTGTTCAATTTATGCTGGAAGTGGTGATACTTCTGAGTTATGACTACTGTTAAGATAGCTTAAAAGAACAACAACGATAAATCTATGTAGATACTTGTAAAATGAGAACCTTACTTTCTTGGAAATTTTTATCTAGGAAACCTCGTGAACCCAACTTTTGCTACTTTTAGCAAAAGTGGAATGCCAAACTCTTCGAGCATGTATACGTGTCAATAACGCAATCGGCGCTACCGAAATATTTGAAATAATGACCAGAGATGTTTGTTATGTCCCTAATAAAAATTGTATGGTTAATTTGCTTAACGACGTGTTCTGGGTATCATCCAAACCATTTGTGGAATAGTTCAATGATTTGGGTTATCGTTCGTTTATGGTTATTTTTTATTAGGGGTTACAATCGATAGGCAATAGGCAATACGTTTACTGTTTCAGTGCCAGAGTGTTACGTTTACATCAGATTATAGTTTCTCGCGTTCTCACGAGCTCGTGGGAATAACAAAGGTTTGGAATTACTGCCGAAAGTGTTAAATCAGTCCAGCAAATTTACCACTTTCGGAAGTGAGTCTATCCTTGAGCGATTCAACATTTACCCTACTGAACTCAAGCTTTCTGAAGTGATTAAGTATTTTATGAGCTGAATATCCGGATCCAGTGTTTCCATCTTTTTC